TTCGTCGACGTTCTCGAAGGCCTATGTCCCCGGTCCTGAATTTGACCTTAAGCTTTGTTCCTGCATCCATTTGTCCATGTAGGTAATCCTTGAGCACTATTCCTTCCTTCAACATTCCGTACACTTCGAGACCCTCCTTATCCTTGGATTCTTTCCTTAGATCCTGTTCTTCTCTNCTTCTCTCTCGGCACAAGCAACAGATATCTTCTCCTTGAACCCCTGTAGACCCTCCGTTTCCAGCGTTTCATCTTCGTCGATGTCGAGCCCCTTCCATACGTCCTCTACAACCTTGACCCATTCCGTGGGTTGTCTACCCCTCTTTTTGTTTGCCCACTTCGCCTCCCATACAATTCTCGGCAACCTCTCCCCTCCCATCCCGCATATGCGGTACTGCCATGTCAGCTTCCTCGCGTCTCTTCCCGACCGAAGGGATTGGATCCCCAATTCTGCCCTGACGGCTGCATTACTTGTGCGCTTGGAGCATCCTCGGATTATTTTCGCTGCGTTCATCTGCGCCGCCTCGAGTTCTTTCACTACGTTCTTACTTCCTTCCCATACTTCTCCGGCGTACTCTAGCGGCGGTACGATTACACTCTCCAAAACCGTCAATTTGATGCGTGTATCGAGGTGCCGGTTTGCGAGTATTGGGTGCAGCTTCCCTGCTCGTGCTTTGCCCTTTCCCGCTAACTTGGACATGTGTGCATTCCACGAGCAGTCTTTTGCGATCTCTACTCCGAGGTATGTGTACTGGTCCACTACTGCAATCTCCTCGATCCCCCACTTCCATCTATGTTCTACTGGTCCCTCCTTGGGGGGGGGGGGAGGGGCAGATGGCTGGGCAACTATCACACCTTCACTTGTGTCCGCAGTCTTTCCTTCGCTCTCTCCAACCGCCCGCCCGTCGTTCCCTGCCACGCAGCCGCTGTCAACATCTGTTACGCCTCTTACTATTGCCCGCGTCGGCTTTGGTGTTTGCGTATGTGACGAAGAATAACGAGAGGCGTCAGTGACGGTTTCCTCCTCTTTTGGTCGCCCGCCTTTGGCCGTGGACTCTTTTGCAGAGGACTGGAACACCTGCTCGGATGTGTGTATTTTTCAGCGCGGGAGCGGGGGGGGGGGNGGGGGGGGGGGTGGGGGGGTGCCGAGAGTCGCTTCGTTCATCAGACGAGTAACGGATGACGGACGTTACACTTGCTGCTGTACCGCTCATCAAGCAAACGAAAACGAAAACCCTGCCGTATTTTACGCAAACAAGGAGGTGTTTGAACACCAGGAGAACTTTTGCTTTCTGGGGAGAGGTACAATCGCACGCGAATGCCATGACACATCACTAACTTGCACATGGAACGCACGTAGCATCACGTGCAACGCATGCAGCACACAGAAGTTGTGGTTGCCCGCGACCTGCCGGTACAGGCAACAAGAAATTATTTTTAAAGGCCTAGGGCATCCATCGGCGACCGAAGACAAGATTCCCCGCGTTTCGACGGCCTAGACACGAAATACGAGCAACACCGACGAGTTTATCTCGAGTCCCGAAGGTGATGTACAATATGATGGGCGAAATATAGTGGCCACCAAAGGTTGACCCGCTCAAACAACAGTTGCATTTAGGATAAGATTCGGGACTCCACAACAAACTCGCACATTCGCAAAACACAAACTCCTACGCTTACAAACCTTCTCATGTCCGCATATCGTTTTCGCAATGCAACCCGGGGTTCTTGGGTGCGTCTGTGTGGGGATTTTGTTACCAGTGGGGGATGTAGCTGTGGCAACGTCTTCCTCATGGAGTAGATTGTACTTCTAGTATTAGTATAGGGTTGGGTTCGAGTTCTTGTTCCGACAAATTGAACCCTATGTATTCTTAAAGGCCATGTTCTGAAAACATGCGGGCGCTTATAACTGCTGCGGGGCCTTGTTTGCATGTGGGGTCTACCTTATCAACGGTCAACAGGCGATGTCGTACGCTTAAGTGTTGCCCTGGCGTTCTAATCTCTCCGCCTGCTGCCTGTGCGAGTGCGCACCCACGTGTGCATGAACTCTGCTCCGCCATGCCATTTCTCCTCCTCGTCACTTCAGCAATAGACAGCAAGGTTCACGTACAGCCTACTCTACCTTTGGGCCGCGATCAACGCGAGTGCATTGCATAGCATCAACATCAACAACAACAACAACGCATGCTCTACAAAATGCGGTGCAACAATGAGCGCCTTTATCTTAGAATTGACACTGGAAGTGGACCTACCTTCCGCAGCGAGGCCCCTTCCGTCGAGAGAGAGCGACAGATCATCGCAGTTGCTGTAGTAGGAGCAACACATCTCGCGGCACCACAACCACCGCAACTTGTGCGGGAAACCAGGCCGATGCGTCGGCCATGCACAGCGCTTCGGAACACCCTTCCGACGGCAGCCATGGGCACCAAGGTTGATACCACGAGACACACGAAGTCAAGCCAACGCGTAGCAACGGTGACCGACACCCCCCTATATGCCCATTCTACCATTTTTTTGAACGAGTACATATACCCGTTGTCAGACTGGGATTACACTGCACCTTGCGATGACCCCCTCGCGGGGTCGAGCACGACTCATCCATTGACGATAAGCAAAGAGGCACACGGACACCTTCGCGTGTGTTCGGCGTGGAGCGACCACGGCCGCTTCGTTCGCCAAAGAAGACACGCGCCCGTTGTTTGCGCATGCGGTGAAGGAGAGGAAAGGATGGCCGATTCGCTTAACTACGAGAGGTTCCTCGTCCGCCTCAAGCGGATTCACACGCAATGGAGCAAGGGTGAGAGATAGAGAGGTAGAGAGCAAAAGGTGATACACAACAGCAGAGATGAAGCTTACCTGCTCCTGCAAAGCCTCGAAGGGGGAATGGGCGGCTGTGTGGCTCGTTTGTAGTATCCGGTATCGTTCCGGGAGAGCAATGGAAGAGAGCAGGCAGTGTTGCCGCTGTGGTGTGGCAAGTCTTTTTGTGTTTTTTAAAACTTATCTTATTTTCAAATATGACTTGCATGTTGTCGTTGTCCCCTGACGACCATGTGTTTTGACAGTCTACTCCAATAGACTGCATGTCTCGTCTCTCTCATACTCTCGTACCCCCACGAGGTGATCCGGCATGAAGCAAGCAGTCAACCAGACTGAAATCCTCCTGTTTTCCTCCTGAGTCAAATTGGCTGTTGTGGACAAATCGTCTCGTAGCGAGTACATAGCGGGAAACGCTCGAACCCTCTGTCTGGTATTGTGTAGCAGGCATATTTGGCGGACGGGTTCCGGGGGGGGGGGGGGGGGGGGGGGG